CATCATGACCCTGTCGGTGTGGAAGATGTACCATTCGCGCCTGCAGCGCGGTGGCCTGCGGCTGCACCGGAGTCTGCAGCTGTCGCTGGTCATGCGCAGCGCGCGAGAGCTCTACCTCTCGGCCAAGGTGGAAGCCCACGAGCCCGAGGTGCCCTTGCCGCCCGTCCGCTCCTCTGATCCTCGCCTGCACCAGTTGCGGGAAGCGGAAGCTGTAGCCGAGGCAGCGCCCCCCGACGGTGAGCAGCCTTCCCCGGAGCCCATGGACACGCGGGAGGCGCCGGGAGCCGCGGAGACCCCAGCTCCCTGTGCCCCGCGCCCCACTAAAGTCAGCCGCAAGCGGCGGAGCAGCAGCCTGAGTGACGGCGGGGACGTCGGACTGGTCCCAAGCAAGAAAGCCCGTCTAGAAGAAGAGGAGGAGGAGGAGGCAGGGGCCTCTTCGGAGGTCCCTGATCGCCTGCAGCCACCTCCCGCTCAAGCGGAGGGCGCCTTCCCCAACCTGGCGCGCGTCCTACAGAGGCGCTTCTCTGGCCTCCTGAACTGCAGCCCCGCCGCCCCCCCGACGGCGCCGCCGGCATGCGAGGCGAAGCCTGCCTGCCGCCCTGCGGACAGCATGCTGAACGTGCTCGTGCGGGCCGTGGTGGCCTTCTGAGGGTCCCCGAGCGGCGCTACGGGAGCCCAGAGCGCGGGCCGAACCGTCGGCCGGAGTGCGCACACCCGAGGCGAGGCCCGCCCCCGGGGGAGCGCCCGCTGAAACCGTGGAGAGGAGCTGCCGCCCGGGCTGCTGAGAGGCCTGAAGAGGGACTCTGCCCCCGGGGAGCCGTCGCCGCCTGTGCGCAGCGGCGGCGCCGAGGAGCCTGAGCGGGGAGCGCGAGCGCCTTCCGCCGAGACCTGCTGCGCCCATAGGTGCTGTCTTAACGGACTGGGACGTGGACCTTTCCCTCTCCTTCTGGGACTGGGAGCAGGGAGGCTAGGTTCTTTAAAACTCCTCAGGGTCGGACTTTATTTTTTATTGGGAGCTGTACTGCCCTTTCAAGGTTTTTCAATAGTTGGTGTTTGCATTTCCAACCTCAGAATTCCAGGCAGGCGCTCCCTTCCCCCACCAGTGACATACTTGTGCAAGCGGTCATCGTTGCGTCATGGGGCAGACGTGGGGAGCTTCCTGTTGCCTTGCGTGGGTGTGGGGCCTGGGAGGAGGGTCTGGGGTGTGGACCGCCCTGGGGAATGGGAGGAGGGCGTCCTGAGTCACCTCGCCCCGCGCGCTGCGGGTTTGTGCCCCGCGCCCCTGCGCCTTCGGCTGTATAGCGGGGGCAAGGTGGGGGCCCGATTTATTTCAGGTTACAATTTTCCTCATCTGGTGCGTGAGAGGTGGTAATACGTTCCCAGTCTCCGGCGTGACCGTCCCTCAGACACACAGACACAACCCAGACGATCCTGGTCTGAATCACAAAATTGGGTGGGGGTGTTTAGAGCGCTTGTAAGGCTGCGCTGGGACCAGTTGCTGGTGAGACTGGGCCAGTTTGGGAAGGGGAAGATTCTTGCCAGGGCGTGCTGAGGTCTGTTTACCTTTACTGTGGTGGATTCTGTTTAATTTCATCTATCTGGCTTTTTGCTAGAAACGCCAGATAGGAAAATAAAGAGCATTTGAATAAAGTCTGTGCTGCCCGTCTGGTTTTCTTCCCTGATGGGGGAGGGGCAGGGTTAAGGGGTCAGGAGCTGGCGGCGGCTTGCTGGGGCCCCAGAAACCGGTCTGACCGGCTATCACGTGGGTAGAGTGGGCGGGATGGGGCTGGGCCCCCCTTTCCTTTGCCAGAGCGTTTCCGTGCTGGGCGCTCTGGTCCTCTGACTCCTTCAGCTCCCCCACATTCGGTGGTTCCGTCGAAATCCTGCAACTCGGGGCAGGCGGGGGCGGGGGGGGGGGGCTGGGGAGCGGAGAGGGCTTGACGAGCTCAGACCTGTGAGGGGGATTACCGATGGGTCCAGTGCCCCAAACAGAATTGGGAAGGCCACGCCTCCTTTGGAGGCTTTCGGAGGATGGCAGGCAGATCTCACCTCCCCCCACCCCACTTGACCGACTGAATCAGCTTTGGCGGGGGTCCCTCAGCTTGCCGGGGAGCTGAAGTGCGCTTTGGGGCGCCCTTTATACCCTTGTTCTTATCTCTGGCGGTACCACTTTGTGACCCAGGCTGGGAGGGGAGGTTCCCAGCCTCAGTCTCCCCATCTGTGAAGTGGGCCTCTAAACAGCTTCCCCGAAAGGTGGCCGTGGATTTAGAAACACCCCCCTGAGAGCCCTAGTTATTTGCTTTGGCTCCATCCCAGCTCCATTTTAGTCACCCCAGAGGAGAAAACGCTCATAATGTATCCAGTGCTGATTTAGGAGAGGGGCTGCGAGGCGTCGCCCCAGGGCGGGTGGCGGGGTGGCTGTTAGGAGGACAAAGGAGCCGCAGGTGCGGGCAGTGAGGGCGGCGGGAGGCGCCGAGAAAGCAGCCGCCCCGCCTCCAGACGGCTGGCTCCGGCCCTGCCAGCTTCCCGCGACCCCGGGGGACCTGACCCCGAGGCCGTAGGGTGGAAGGAGGAGGGTGAGATGGAGGGTGGATCCGCCCCAGAACTCCCGCCTCCGGCTCCCCTCCAGCCTCGTCCACCCACCCCGCTCCCCGCCTCCCTCTGGGTTCCCCCAGGGGAATCTAGCCCAGCTCGCCTCCGCGGCCACCTGATTCTTTCCTGGGGAAACACGGGAGACTTAAGCGCCACCCACTCGGGGTCCTGACCCGTAACTCCCCAGTGGGACGTGGGGGTGTGGGGAGGGGGGAGACTGGAGGCCCACACCCCAGCGGCAGTTCAGTGCGTTCGCGTGGGAGCAGCTCCCCTGAGAACCTGGCCTGCCCCGGGAAGTCCCCGGCGGCTGGGGAGGGGGCCCCTCAGTGCGCATCCTGTCGCAGGAACCTCCTGGCCCTTCCTTCCTCCCCGGGAAGCGGTCAGGCTGATCTCCGCCCCACCTCTTGGGGGTTTCCGGGCTGGGGGCTGGAGATGATGAAGTGGGAGACAGGAGAAGCCCCCCCCCCCATCCCTTTAATATATCCCCCTTCCCAAGACCCCATTCCACCCTTCCGAATAGGCAACATTGAATATTCGTCACAATAACCTGGGTTCTCACACCGTTACATGGCATCGGATCGTTGGGCTAGGCCCTCTGGGGGAGTAATTCATGGGACAATAGTTGTGAAAACTAAAAGTGTCACAAGTCCCTTGACCAGTAGAGTCCCCCCGGGGGAACCTCAGGCCTGCAGCAGGAGGCTCCAGAAGGCTGTTCATTACAGTGTTGTCCACAGTACAAATTGGAAACAACCTACATGCCCATCCCATCTAAGCGGTCTGGTAGAATTCGGACTGTCCATGCCTCCCCGGAGAATAAATGGCCTGAGCGGGGACAGATCTACACTCTCTGGCGACACCAATGGCTCAGAACCATGACGCTGAGGGACAAGGGCCGGCGGCAGACCTTGTGGGGGTGGGAACACAGATTCTGGAGCCAGCCCACCAGGTCTACTTGCTTGCTGTGCAGCTTTGAGCGAGTCACTTCACCTCTCTGGGCCTCCGTTTCCCTGGCTGTACACTGTGGGCAACCATAGCCCCTACCTCTGGGGGTCCGTTGCGAAGATTAAGTGAGATAATACATATAAAGGGCCTGGTGGGATGCCTGGCACACCGGAAGCGGTGTTATTTTATTATTGGTAGAACTCAGAGTGATAACAGTGCCGTCCATTTAAAGGCGCATACAGCAATACAGGCATTTGGTGTGGCAGTGTGGGTACAGATGCTGTGCTCATCCCAGAGAGCTGGAGAAATAGTTCCTGCCTCCAACAGCTCCGTGTGCCTGAGGGTCAGCGTCCCCGCTCAGCTCCAGAGTTTGGTTTCATCCTAGGGATTTGACCGGGTTGACTCTTGCCTCCTCCCAGGCCTCCACACTTCTGGTTTCCGCCCACCTCAGGCCCCGGGCCTCTGGCTGTCTACACTCACCCCTTTGTAGGTAGTCTCATTCAGTCGCAGGGCCTTAAATGCCACTCTATGCCGGCTCCCAAATTTTGCTCTCCAGCCTGGACCCCCTCCCCCACCCCCAGGCTTTCTGTCCAAGGCCCCTTCCCATGTCTCCCTGGCCTCCCAACTGAGGAATCCTCCTTGGACCCCTCTTTCTCCTTCCTGCCCCTGGCACCCAGTCACAGGTGCTGTCAACTTGACCTCTCATCCCACTCCACTTTCTCCACCTCCTGGCTCTGATGTTGGTGTGGGCTGCTGTTACCTCTCACGTGGATCAGGGGCAGTGGCTTCCCCCCCTGCTCTCGCCCCCACAATCTGTCCTACCCCGCAGCCACACAGATCTTCTAAAAATGCAAGTTGGATAATGTCACTCTCCAGCTCCCCTCTGCTTCATCCACCGTGGCCTCTTTTCTGCTTGGAGAACAGGCCAGGCATGTCCCAGTCCAGGGCCTTTGCACTTGGTGTTGCTTCTGTCTGCAATGCCCCTCTCCCAGACATCCGTTCTCACTTTGTTCAGATCTCCGCCGGAATGTCACCTCCTGGGAGAGGCCTTCTTTGGCCATCTGATCTAAAGACACTCCCCACTCTGCCTCCCAGCCCGTTGCCCCTCTTCTCAGCCTTCCTTCAAACACTACTCACCGTCTGGAAGGGTAAATTAATGTTCTAGTTCGCATCTGTGTTCAAATGTCCGTTCCAGGAATGCCCAACCCAGGCCTGGAAGAGTCGATGAGGTTGGCTGGGGGAGGCAAGTGCTAAGTGCTTAGTAGTTATTGTCGCATTTAATCAGTGGCTGCCCATGACTCTTAGCATAGAATTTACCAAATTTCAGACCGTTGATGGCCAGGATTTTTGTCATATCTGCAAAACAACTGTACTATTATTTATCTAAAAATTTTTCTGAACGTAAGCCACTTGTTAATCACGGACCATACTTAGAAGGTAACCTTTAATACAAGCTACAGTGAAAACAAAACAATGTCATAAGATTCTGCTGAAACAGTAGCCAGTATGAGGGTCCGGACAGCTTTCTTAGGCAGGCACAGAGATTAGCCACGGTTTACGACATATTATTACCACAGGAGACAGGAAAGGGCCTATCTTCAGTCAGAAGACTAGGGAAAGTCTAAAAGCTGAAAAGAGAAACAAAGGGATTCGTCCTCTTATTTAAATAGCATTGAATCAGTTTGGCCACCATTTCAGAGTTAGAAAAATTCTGCCTCTGGATGAGAGACAAAGCTACAAATGCCCCCCATTTTGGTCCAAGACCTTTGTTTACGGACGCTCAGATTAGGAGCTTTTTTTTTTCCCCCTGTAACATCACAAAGCAATTTTATACTCGTTTCTGGGTTTGTCTCCTCTTCTGGCCTGGGGCCTCCTTTCGAGGCCAGAGACGAGTCTAGCAGGTGCTTACTAAGTGGTTTTTGTGAATGAATGATTCATTTGCAACCTCTCCTTTGAGACTGGTCCTTTTAACTCCACCTTTTACGGATGGGAAACTGAGGCCAGAGAGGATCGCCCTGCAGGAGAGCAAGTAAGGGACGGCTCTAGTCGGGTCGGCCATCCAAGATCCCCTCCACTCTCCTCTCGGCAGGACCTAAGGGACAGGCGCCCCGCTAAAGCCTCCGCAAACCTGGGAAAGGGCTGAGCCACAGAAGCAGCACCCGGACCGGTTTACCCGGTTCCAGGAACCTGGGGCGAGGTCCGCGCGTCCGAGCCGGGAAGGCGCAGGCCTAGGCCAGGCGGGGCGGGGCCTCGATCTCCGCCAGGAAATGGGAGTCCTAGGCGGGGAGGTCGAGGTCAGTGACTACCACAACGCGGGGCGGAGCGATCGGGGTGTCAATCACAGACGGGGGCGGGCTAGACGAGTTCACCTCGTCTCGCGCTCTTCCCCCCCCGGGTCCCGCCCCTGCGCGCCGCACCGAGCGACTTCCAAGAACTCCCAGCGTAGTCAGTGACTTGGGCCACGCCCCTCGCCCCCCAAACCGGTCTCTTCCGGACCGGATTCCGCCCAGGTTCTCCGCGCGGGGCGCCCCCCCCCCCCACAGCACGCCCCACGGATGCGGGAGTGGGACTTAGGGGCCGGGCCGGAAGGCGGAGGCCGCGCCGGGGCGTGTGGGGCTGGGGGCCTGCCTGATCCGAATCAGGTAAACCGCGGAAGGAGCGGGAGGGAAAGGGGGCTGCCAGAGCTTGGGGTTCATGCTACCCACCGCTGTCGTGCAGGCTGCTGAAGCTCCCCACGTGTCCAGAGGAGCCCAGAAGCCCACACCGGTATCCACGGGGAACCAGAGCCCCTGCAGCAGTGTCTCGTGGCGCTCGGATCCACACACGTGTGCTCAGGGGGGTCCACACCTTCCCACTTGTGTCCACAATGGGTCTCACCAGGGCACCTGTTCTGTTCCCCCAGGCTCAGCCTGGAGGTTTATTCCGCCCACCTCGAAATTTGTGTCCAGGAGAGCTGAGCCCAAGGCCTAAGGCCCTCCACCTACATACCCAATCCGTCCCAAGATCGACCCCCTCTCCCCCAGCACGTTGTTGGCTCTCAGTGAAGAGATAACCTCAACAGGGGCGCCTGGGTGGCTCGGTCGGTCAAGCGTCCCACTTCGGCTCAGGTCATGATCTCACGGTTCGTGGGTTCGAGCCCCGCGTCGGGCTCTGAGCTGACAACTCGGAGCCTGGAGCCTGCTTCGGATTCTGTGTCTCCCTCTCTCTGCCCCTTCCCGCTTGTGCTCTGTTTCTCTCGCTCTCAAAATTAAATAAACATTAAAAATAATAATAACCTAAACATTCACTGCCCCCTCACTCCTTCAGCTCCCTCCCGCACCTGGGCGGCTCCCCTGGCCCCCTGGGGACCTGCCTTTCCTCGCCCGCCACCGACTGGCACCAATTAATTTCCTCCTCCGTCTGTCCACCCACATCTGGTGGCCAGCTGCTCGTCCTCGCCCTGCCCGCCCCCAGGGTCTCCCAGGGAATTGCTAACAGCGCTCCTCCTCCTAGCGCCCCTCAAACCCAGGACGCCCTACCAAAGCACCCGCTTCCTCCACCCCCCACCCGAGGCTGCTAATCACAAAAAGCTGACGGGACCTGGAGAAGAGAAGATCTGAAATCCGATGGAGGAGGGGCGGGGTGTGAAACTTTCTGAACCAGAGATGGGGGGGGAGGGGCGGGGGGGGGGGAAGCGGGGTGGAGGGAGGCAGGAGCTTCAGTTGTACCTAAAGGCTCGAGATCAAAGCTTTCTGGCTTCCAGATGGGGACCGCGGGGAGGGCTGCCCACTCGGGGGCAGGCAAGGCTGAGCACCCCCACCCCTTCCTCGGAAAGCCCCCGGGGGATGTGGCGGTGACAGCTGTGCCCCAGCCCGCGCCCGGCGGGTTTCCTTTTCCTGTGCTCACTCTCCCGACTGGCTGGCCAGCAGCCTGGAGACACCAGTCCGGCCCTTTTGAAGGGGCTCCCCAGAGGGTCATCCTGGACGAGGGGGAGGGGACTGACAGAACAATGGGCTTCTGTAGCTGCTGGACGGCCCAGGCGCTTCCTGTTAACCCTTCCCTCGGGGGTGCAGCTTGGGGGAGCATCTCAGGGGCCTGGCCTGTGGAAAGGGAGCCGGAGGGGATTTGTCCACGGAGCTAGCGAACAGGCAGCTCTTTCTCTCCTGTCCCAGGTCTTGTTTTCACAAATGATCGGAAAGGGCAAGGCGAATGCACCCCTCGCGGTCCTCAGTGGAGTGATAGAGCCTGGTTCTCTGCTCTCTGGTGAGCTGAGGGTTGTGCCTCCCCCTGGGGGTGGGGGACGGGGCATAGCTAGCCTGGGAGAATCCACTGTGCTGAGGGCCGAGACATCCCAGGATCTCTGGGGGGTGGGCTTGGCCCGGCCGAGGGACCCAGGTGAATCCAAGGTCTTGCCGCCCTGCCAGACGAGCCGGAGGTCACGACCCCCCCAGCCAGTTGGCTCCCTGGTCCGGGCCTCAGTCTCCCTGCTTGGGAAGTTCTTCCAAGGGCCCGAGGGGAGCACAGCGTGATCCTAATGGGCCAAAGCGACCTGAGCTGGGGGTCTGGGAAACCTTTTGCTGTCTCTTGGAGCTCCGGGAAGATACGCTGGGGAATTAGCTGCTGTGTTCCTTGAGAATTCATGCGAAGTCTCTTCTGTTTACAGAGCTAGCCAGAGAGGTTCACCCTCAGGAGAGTCTGTGGGGCTCCAGGAGCTTCTGAGGGTCCCTGGAGCCCCAGCATCCGGCCCCGGAGGCTTTTGGGTAGTTACAGGCCAGATAACATGCCCTGTTCTAAGAAGAGACTGCACACAGTGATGCCTCCCACCCAGCCAGGTGCTGTGCCTGGCCCTCCCACATTCTCAGTTATCCATCACTGCAAGCCTAAATCAGAACTAAAGTAGGCCTGGGGCACCCGGGCGGCGCAGTCCGTGAAGCATCCGACGCTTGATCTCCGCTCAGGTCATGATCGCGCAGTTCGTGGGTTCGAGCCTCATGTCAGTCTCTGCACTGATGGTGTGGAACCTGCTTGGGATCCTCTCTCTCCTGCTCCCTGCCCCTCCCCCACTTGTGTGCTCGCAGGGCTCTCTACTGTCTCGCTCGCTCTCTCTCAAAAGAAACAAAAAAATTAAAGTAGACGCTTTCACTGGCCTCGTTTTACAGATGAGGGAATTAAGGCCTAGAGCAAACGTGTGTCTAGTAAAACAAAGTGCATTGTTTTTCTTTCTCTCCTGGATTGAGGGGGATGGGGTGGGGGGCAGGGGTCACGTAGAGGCCCTTGTCCACACCAGTGGACTTTTGCTTGTATATACCCAGTGGCTTATCTTCCATTCACTGATAAGGAAAGAGAGCTGGGGTGGGGTGGGGTGGGGCGAGGGCCACGGGGCCCCAGGTCTCCCTGCCACCACTGGGCGGCCTTTTCTCTCTCTCCTTGCATCCTTGGCCCACCTCCCACCAGGTTGGCCCACCAAATGCCCTCTTCAGCTTTTTCACACCCACTTGCTGGGTGACTGTACCATTTTTTCCTCCCCTTTCTGACAGCTAAAACCTCCCCAAGGGCCAATATGTGCACGTTCAACCCAAGGGCTTGAGGAGGATAAAGTTGGTTTGGGGGTTGGGGTGTTTTGTTTTGTTCTTTTTTTTTTTTTTTTTTGTAATCATTATTTACTGAGCAAAACCAAACTTCTAGACTGCAAAGGCTGCTGCCAGGCCCCCTTGCTGGTGTCTGGGACAGGAAGTGGCTCACTGCTTTGCCTTTCAGACCGGAGGGCAGGGGGGGGGCAGGGGGGGCCTGTTAGAGGCCCAGCAGCTGGGGTTCGGGCCCCAGGCCGGCCTACCGCCAGCCAGCATCCACCTGAGGCCCCCTTCCCCTCTCCTCCCCTCCCTTCTGTGGCCCGCCCTTCCGGAATGAACCTTGTCCTGGCTTCTAGCCACCGCCACCCCACGGGGGAAGGCAAAGCAGGCCTGCAGTTAACCCACTGCCGAGTTGAGTCCCCGCAGGCGCCGGCGGCACCTTTCCCACTCCGCGGGGGGGGGGGAGGGGGGGGCAGGGGCGGGGGGGGGGGGGGGGGGGGAGTCTCGAGACCCTTTCCCGCTCAGGCTCTGAATCCGAGCAGCGGCTGGAGTCTGCCGCACTGAGTTCCATGTATTCCCCAACTACCCTCCAAATCCCCACGGACACTGCCTTATAAACAGTCACCGGAATTTTCAAAGGGGCCACATGTGGTTTGGGACAAGGCATTCTCTTCTGAGAGGGGCGGGTGTGAGGCCGGTTCTGAAGAAAACAGAGGAGCGGGCCGTGGGAACAGGGCCCGCACTGGGACCACCGAAGCTTTCCTTTCAGCCGGGATGGGGGGGGGGGGGGGTGGGGGGGGGATGTCTTCCCCTCTCCTGCTTTGCTTTGTGTCCCTGGCCTCTGTGGAGCCCCGGCTGCCATTTGCAGGGCCCTTGGGGACGCTGTGCATCAATGGCTGCTTCCGGGCATCATCGTATTTCCCTGTGCCTCCCTCCTCTTTCCTTAGGCTTGCCCCTCTCTCTCATGACTGTTCACCATGGGAGGGGTGTGGGCGCACACATGCACCGTCTCCCAGCAGTTCCGCTGTGACTCAAGCCAGCCCTTTCCCTGAAGGCTGGGAAGGCCAGAGCGAGGAGCCTCCCCCAGGGCCGTGTCCCGAGCTTGGACCCAGGTTTCTGGTCGGCTGGGGAGAGCGGGCTCAGTCCCCTCAACACCGTGAGCTGAGTCTAGGCCCAGTGGGTTACCCACACGCTCGCTCACGCACACACACGCGGCTCCGGAGAAATTCTCTGTCCCCGATTGTCCTAGATTACCCTAGTGTGCCTGTTCCCTGCTCTCAGTGACTTCCTCTCCTTGCAGCTGGCCTGTATGTTCTAGAAAGCTGGGGAAAGTTCCTCAGCTAGAAGGCTCCTGCCAGCCACACTCCAGGTTGGCCTGGCCTCACGCACGCACGGGGCCATATGCTTCCCGCTTGGTGCTTGTGGCCAGCGTGAATCCTCCCTGAAACCTTCGCTCCAACTCTCTTGCACCTGAGCCCATCCTGTCCCGTTGCCATGGCATCCGTGGAACCCAGAAGCCAGATGGTCTTATGTCCCCTCCTGCCCCTTCCAGGCTCAGGCCCTCCTGAGCTCAGCAAGAGTTTACTCAGCACCCCTGTGTCCCCAACGCACATTAAGGCTGTGTGCCCAGTAGCTCATCTGTTGCCCCTAGTGACTCCGGAGACAGGCAGTGACAGCACTTATCCAAATCCAGCTGAGAAGTGTCAGGGTTTTTTTGTTTTATTTTGCGTGTGTGTGTGTGTGTGTGTGTGTGTGTTATTTTTTGGTTTTGGGGGTTGTGTGTGTGTGTGTGTGGTTTGTTTGCTTGTCTTTTAGGAAGCTCTATGCCCAACATGGGACTTGAACTCACGACCCCGAGATCAAGAGGCTCATGCTCTCCCCACTGAGCCAGCCAGGTGCCCCACGACAAATGTCAAATTCGAATTCAAGTCTGTGGGACTTGAAGCCTGAGGTCTTAAGAATGACAGCGGGATTGCCTGGCTGGCTCAGTCAGTGCGTCATAGGATTCTTGATCTCGGGGCCGTGAGTTCGAGCGCCGCGCGGGGGATAGAGATTACTTAAAGGAAAAAAAGAAAAAAAGAAGAATGACAACAACCATAGAAGCTAAGTGCTCCACTCCCAGAGTCCTCACTGCTTGACTTATTGTGGCATTCTCCTTGTTTCCGTGGAGGAAACTGAGGCACCATGGGGTCAGATAGCCTTCCTCCTGCATATAGTCTTTACAGCTGAAAAGTGCTGTAGCCTGGATTCGAACCTGGGCACATGGCTAGCGTTTCTGGACCTTTTGTGGCCGGATG